CGTGTGGGTTGCACAAGGACAAACAAACTACAGTATTATGGCCTCAGTACTTTTAACTGGTAGCCTGTATTTTAATCACTAATATCAATAAAAAAACTTTTCTCGTGTGGGTTGCACAAGGACAAACAAACTACAGTATTATGGCCTCAGTACTTTTAACTGGTAGCCTGTTTTAGAAAGATTTCTCTTTGAATGATTACTATATTACAGCTTTCTGCATGTTATATATTTCTTCTTTTTTTTATGTTTTTCTAATGATAAAAAAAATCTCGACTCTTATTTTCCAGATGACAATTGTAGAAGGAATTATATGCAAGAAATGTAAACTTTCATTTAAAGAGAAAAAGTATTTCTGTGGTTATTCCATCTCCTACTACGTGTTTCAGTTGTATCATACAGTGGGTGTATTTGCATTTGGTGGTTGTATATCACAGTTAGCAACAGATATTGCCAAATATAGCATTGGTCGGCTACGACCACATTTTATTGATGTTTGTCAGCCAGATCAGTCCTTGACGGAATGTACACATGAATACATTTTGAACTATGAATGCACCAGCAGTGATGAAGATAAGATTCAAGAAGCTCGGTATGTGTGATGAACTATAAAGTGATTTATTTACAGTTTGTATTACCAATGGTGTTCCTAATTTTCATGTTTCTTAATGAGACACAGGGAGTTGGAATTTTGCTATTGATAGTTTTGGTGTTTTGTTATTAGTTTTATTTCTGATTTTCACAATGATAATTATAGTTTAGAACTTAATATTTTCCAATTTTATGTTTAAACTCCGTAAGAAAAATTAACTTGTTTCATTATTGAACTCTTTTTAGATTTAAAACCTGTCTTTGCTGTTCGTCTGTCAGTTTTTGTATAGTTACTCTTATCATCCAGAAGAACAGATTCAAAATACTATACAAGATTTTGACAGAATTCAAACTTTATTTGTCACATTCGTTTTTTTAAAGAACTCGCTATATTTCACTCTATAACTTAGCAGCATAACTTATTAAATCTACTTTATTTGTCACGTTCGTTTTTCTAAAGAACTCTTTATATTTCACTCTATAACTTAGCAGCATAACTTATTAAATCTACTTTATTTGTCACGTTCGTTTTTCTGAAGAACTCGCTATATTTCACTCTATAACTTAGCAGCATAACTTATTAAATCTACTTTATTTGTCACGTTCGTTTTTCTAAAGAACTCGTTATATTTCCCTCTATAACTTAGCAGCATAACTTATTAAATCTACTTTGTACCTTGATTAGAAAATTGATACTATTTTTATTGAGAAAAGAAAGGAATGCAACCCCTAATTAACCTTTGTGCCTGCAGCAAGAAATGGGAACCTACTGCGTATTTAGCCAAGCATAATCTGTGGTCTTTCACAAAAGATTTTAGACAAAGTTATTAGTGAAAGTGAGAAGATTTTAAGTATTAATTGTATGAAAACAGAATGTATGGTTATTACCTACAAGAAGATCATTCCTGTATGTATTGTCAAAGTAGATAAGGAACAGATAAGGCAGGTCACTAAATTCAACTACCTAGGAAGCTGGATAACATCAAATGTTAAATGTGATCATGAAATAAAATGAAGAAGATATTGACCTAATGGTAAAATTTCTATGGGGATGAAGTTAAGCGTTTTGGATTGCCATGTTATACCAATTTTTAAATATACATCAGCATGTTGGACAATATCATAAAGTGTGGAAAGATAATTGAAGCAATTGAGTTTAGTTCTTAAGTCACGTCTTGAAGATATGTTGGACAAGTCGCACCTCAAATTGCAGGAGGAAGCTGATGACTAACATCAGTAAGAGACAGAGTTTCTCGGACACATTATGAGAAGAGAAAAAGTGAAATTCTGGCCGTAACTAGAAAGAATGAAGGAAGGAGAGAGTATAGAAGACAGATGTTTGAGTATGTAAAGAGTCTATCTAAATCGATAAATGTATCAACATTGGAAAGCTTGAGGGAGAAGAGATCTTTGGAAGACTGTGGTCATCAATGTCCTGTTTAAATATGGTATCTACAGAGACAAAGAGACCAGTATGTACATGTCTTTTCCTGAATATTTCTAGTTGTGTCTTGCCTTAATCAACATTTCACTTGTAGGTTTGTAATAATGTGTGGAAGAGCACACCTTGAATAATGTATCTGTGTATTAATGAATTTTGAGTCCATGACTTTTAAAAGCAATCTTTACTTCATACTTTATTCTGAAGGAATATTAAAAAACATAACATTTAACTTTTCTTACAGTTTAGAAGTTGGTTTAATTTCTGTCGTTGCTCATGACATATGCATCATTTCACAAGGATGTATTTTGGTTAAATGTTATATGAAGAAGTCTAAAAAAAAACCACTTCAGTAGAAAAACACAGTAAACTTCTCTGGCTCATAAAGTGTTTTTAAGAATTTTGTTGAGCTATCTCCTTTACTGTTTTATACTTCATGTGTGAAGTAAGGTGAATATGATTTTCTGATCCATGAAATACTAGATATACATAATACATTCTTACATAATATCTTCACGTACATAGGGTTGGTCACACGTATATAAGTGATGTTTCAAGTCTCATGCTGTCATTGGAACTGTTTCTTTCATCGATTGAGCTCATTCTGATAGCTTTTATTACTGTTGCTGAAGACAACAGTTTTTATTTTTACCAGCTTTCTTGGAGGGTGGGGAGGTTAGTTGTGGACAACATACCATAAAAAAAAATTTTTAAATCCACAAACTCTTCAGTGTATGTCAATGTCCACTTCCAAGACTACATTTAAGTAAAGCAAGTGTACAGAAGTCTGTGGGTACCCAGTCTGATGATTTCACAAGTATCATTTTCCATGGTTCATGAAAATGCTCAGTGGACTTGGATGTTTGAATTGAAATTTATCCTGGTGTAGTCATACCTTCTTGCTATATTTGTGCAGTTGATATCAGTATATTCTGTTAACGTTAATTATAATTTATATTTGCTTTGGTGTACCCTTTCTAAAGTTTCAACTTTCCATTGTAAAAATAAAACTACCATGGAATCTGACAGAAAAAAAAATATTTTTCTTTCAATTTTCTGTATGGTGTTGGGATGAACCTCCATCTCTCCATACCTTTCTTGTGCAAATTATTTTGTCTATGTTTTTAACTTATTTCTCTCTCTCTGACCATTATATCTTGGAAGTAAAGTCTGAACTTGTGTTTTGTTTTTATTTTACAAAGGTAGATTTTGGTGAATCATCTTGTGTACAGTTGAATGGACAGTTTATTAGGACTTACTTTCTGGTTGGAGGTTCCTCAATGACCAAGTGCATTCTTGATAATGATAGAGGCAATCTCTCATATGGTATAGTTAGTTTTTACATTCTCATACAAGTGCATTAACCTCCTCTTTCTGATGCTATTCCGTACGTTATACACACTCACCTTTGAACTTTGTGTGCCTTTGGTTTTACATTTTTTTTACTATTTAATTATCTAAGTATCCCTCTGAAAGGACTGTGGCACATATTCCTTCAGTCACATGTTTATTCATGGTTGGGAATTTGCTGTGAACCAAATATATATATATATATATGAAACATGGCTCACATCTGAGACAAAAAGCCAGTGCATTAGCATATGTGAATCATGCTTATAAAGTGTGAATAATCCTACATTTGGCTTTTTTTTTCTTCACCTTTATACAAAACTGTCTGATTACAGCTAGATACTCTGTTTATTAAGTTACTTCAAGGATATTTTTAATTAGCAGTCTTGTAGAAAAAAAAGGTATAATTTCATGTTTATTTTGTTCCTTCTCTTATTTTAGATTATCATTCCCCTCTGGTCATGCTTCATTCTCAGCATATGCAATGATTTACTTAACAGTAAGTACGTATATCTTGAGTTGTTGCCTTTAAACAATCTTTATTGTAAAGAATACAAGGTTTTTTGAAAGTATGTGCAGAAAACAGGGTATAACTGAGTAGAGACATTTTTATCATGTATAATTCAAAATAGTTAGCATGGTTATACTAGTTGCACTGTTAAGTTTTTTTTTTTTCCATTTGATGATCAAAAATACACAACTCATTGTCATAATATAATTTTAAGCTCTGGCACTACTATGGAGAATGAATGCTCCATGATTATATACAGGCCCATCATATGATAAAAAATATTTAATTTGCTTTGAAAAATTTGTTGTAAATAATTATTTTCTAAACATATTTTCTGTAAACTAATTACATTTTAAAAAGAATATATATAAACAATTGTTTATCCTTTTTTCTAGTATTTTATGAAAAAAAAAATTGTGTATATTTTGGTATCACCAGCAAGTGTTCTATGATTAGAATTTAGAAATGTATATATTTTTATGTTCTGAATTTATTAAAAAATTTACAAACTTTTTTTTTGCAATCAAATGTGATACCTTTATGAACTTGTTCTTTACCTTCCATTTATTTGCCTTTCCCATCACAATTAATAAAGTACAGACATTTGACCATGTACGAATATTTCTTCCAGAACAAGTTTTTTTTCACATGGTAAATTCTCTACGGCTTTATCAAAATGGATATTTTAAAAAAAAAACGTATTGTGGCACCCTCTACTGGTTTGTAAAAATATTCAATTTGAGTTTCACACTGTTTAAATATATGATTTTTTTTTATATCTACTAGGTGTACCTTCAGTACAGAATGGTGTGTCCAAAAAATAGCCTGCTTAGACCATTTCTTCAAGCAGGAGCACTCTTGACTTCCTGGTATATTGGACTTACTCGAGTAATGGACTTCATGCATCACTGGAGTGATGTTTTGTCTGGCTTCCTTATCGGGACAGTTGTATCGCTGCTTGTGGTATGTATCTTTTTCTTATAGTCTCTGTAATATTCAAGTTTCTGGACATAGATTCTATACTTAAGATGATTTAGAAGGCTCCTCTTGACATCCACACAGCTCACATACACTTTTTGTTTTGAGCTATTTCCAGTAACATGTTACACTTAAACCTTATAAGTTATGTTATTGTTTTCAATAACTTGTTACATTCATTGTGACATCCAGAAAAACCTCGTACTCAAATTTCAGGATCGTTATTAGTACAGTAGCTCTAGAATACCAAATGTTGAGTTTGATCTACCATGAATTCCTTGGCCAGTGTAGTTATGTTTGCAGGAAATGTATTAATGTATATAAAATGTAACTCTAATTATTAAAACTTACAAAAAATACTACCTATTGCTATTTTTCTTTCAAACTATTAAATACCTATTGTCAGTCAAATTTTTGTAACATTGGTAGCTGATAATAGGTTGATCCATTGTAAGTCTGATACACAAAAACATGCACAACTCAGTCACTTGCTTATTAAACTAAAATGTCAAATTCTTTAGTTTCATATCTATAATACTGTAATCTGTGATTATGTATGAAACAGCTGTATTTGGGTGAAACCACTCGTACCACCCATTCAGAACCCTTTGGGCTTTTCTATAGGTAAGATGGAAAAGAATTAAGTGTTCTGATGTCAGCCTGCCATGTGGTCATTTTGACTTTTTTGTACCACAAAACTTTACATATTATGTATTCTGTTGGCCTGCCATGTGGTCATTTTGACTTTTTTTGTACCCCAAATCTTTACACTATTATGTATTCTGTCAGCTCACCATATGTTCATTTTGACTTTTTTTGTACCCCAAATCTTTACACTATTATGTATTCTGTCAGCCCACCATATGTTCATTTTGACTTTTTTATACCCCAAATCTTTACACTATTATGTATTCTGTTGACCCACCATATGTTCATTTTGACTTTTTTTGCACCCCAAATCTTTACACCAGTATGTATTCTGTTGGCCAGCCATGTGGTCATTTTGAATTTTTTTGCACTCCAAATCTTCACACTATTATGTATTCTGTTGGCCAGCCATGTGGTCATTTTTGACTTTTTTTTCCATATTTTCAATATGTCAGGAATACCAGTCTATCAAGTATGTGGACTGGTTAACTTGACCATAGATTTGATGTCATTTTCAAATACACTGTTTTGAATCATATTTTTAATCTTCTAATACAGTAGAAGAAGTCGTTGTGTGTATGGGTATGTATTTGCAATGTGTAATAAGTTAAATATTATAGTGAAAAAACAAGTTGGGCTAGTAATATTTCAGGCTAGTGATATTATCCTTGGGCTAGTACATCAAAAAGAAACATTATACCTCTGAAATATTTGTTATTATTCATAACCTTTGGTCAAAGCAAGCTAACTACATACATTTGATAAATAACATTCTGAACTAATGAACGTAATTGTATAAAAACAATTTATAAGGCATTATTATCTTTAACATATTCTGCCATAATCTAAATAGTATCTCATAAGGTTTAGCCTGGTTAGAAGATTTAGGGTATTCCTAATTCTGTATACTAAACTATCAATTCAAAATAATCCTAGGTGTAAAAATTAATTGTATACCTATTAAACATTCTAATCAATGGTATTAATGAAAGTAATCGTTGTTACGTATTAGAATTTCCAATGATCTGAAACCGAGATAAATGATACTTTTAATTTAGTAATTACATTGTACATTGGATTTAGTATTTAAATATATGCTGATATATCTCCATTTTATGATATTTGGCAACAAGATTGTTACAAACAGTTTTCTTTTCTTAACACAAATATAGTTTAATATATAAACAACAATACAATTTACAATAACAGTTATTACAAACAATGATTTATAAACAAAAGTTTCACAAACTTACAAGCAATATAAAGTCTTCTTTCTAGTCTGGAACTTCTTTGATGTCTTATCGAGGGTTGACGTAGGTAAAATTAATTTAACAGGGAGCTAGCTAGCTTTGTCTTTCGTTATTTGCCAGCCACACACACCGAGTTTTCCATGATGAACTTATATAATGTTTTCTCATGTCCCATGAGAATCCACTGAAGTTAAATGAGTTGTAATGTTCGAACTTTGTAAATGCTCCTGGTCAAATATCTGAAGTTTTCTTATTGATAAGCATAATAACAATCACAGTTATAGCTTCCGAAGGTTATAGCACACCGACTATAGCAAACTAATAATAGATACTCTTTTTTTGGCGCGGCATATTGGTTATATTTATAGGTGTGTGGAGGCTTTCTCAAATTTTCAGCTTTACATAACAATACTGGTGCTGACACTAGCATTTACGTACACACATATATTGTTGAT